CAATAGGTTACATATATATACAATTATTTACAGGTTATATACAATTTATAAGCTTGGACTTAATTATAAATGTTATCATATTACTAATATTGTCTTGGTGTAGGGCTTAATGTAAAAGTTTATATTATTGCTATTAAAGTAATTTATTTTACATTCATTGTTCTATATTATGCACGGATCAAAAACAGAAAAGTTTTCTGCTCGGGCCGTAGAATTAAAAACATGTGTATTGATTAAAAATAGTAATGTATAATTATCGCCGTCATAAATCAGATTATTTTTCCTTTCATGTCAAACTCAATCTAATACCTAACCCATATGTATATAGTATTAATCGACTGACCAACAATGCCATCGCAACAGGTTGAGTACTCTGATTGAAGAAGGCATGCACGACATGCCCGGAGGCCAACTGCAGCTCATCATTTCCGATCGACCGCACCGGCCATTTTTTATCCACCTGGGCCAAAACGATTTGCCCAAGTCTACCCACGCGTATTCAACTGGACACGAGCTTCGGTGCACCAACCACGTGCGCATCATCTCTTGGTACTGGGCCGGAAGTTGTTCCGGAAGCTGTAGGTTGTCCGGTCCGGTCGTCTCCAGTGACTTGACGCCAGCCGCGCCCGACGCGTTTCGACGGTCTGCCTGTAAACAACAAATTACGGTACAAATCTCATTGTTCAGAGACATCGATCGGTCGAACTAAATATCGAAAGAAGAACCGTCGAAAAAATTATCAAAGTTGGGCAATGGTTAATGATGATAATGAATTTGAGTTGAGTGATTAAATTAGATKTAAATAATTAACGGAGAAAATAAATTCAACTCGCCAGCGAGTTAAAAAACAATGAGGAGAAAAATACTCAACTCGGTGTGAAAAATGTCTTAACGTTTGAACTTGACTCAAACGTTTTAACTAGTTTATGCCCRCCCATGTATATTATAATAATATAAACGTAATATAGTTGGCCATTTCAGTGTACTTTTTACAGGGACGATCCGTGGCCGTGGGGGGGGGAATGGTCGTATGAAATTCGGGCGTGACAACCCTTTCCATTCCGTAACAATTTTCAGTCGGCAGGCATCCAACATTCGATAAATTTGGTCGAAATACCATAATTCGTGGCATTTAAAAATCTAGTCGAAAATTTCGAAATCTATCCGTGAATTTTTTCAAGGTCGTCCTCGCTTCCGCACCAAATCAATTTTACACTGCGTACCTACTCATATTTAGTATTTAACTGTAGATAAATATCATTTACGRAAACCTGTAAGACGCCATTCGGAGATCTTACACAACGTTAGGGTGGCATATTACAGCAAACTTGTTGTTACAGATCATGCATATTTTTTCACGTCTCGTGGTKKTGRAATAAGAAGAAAAATAAGTGTGTTTATTCTTTTGAGTATAAATGGTCACTCAGGGTCAATATTGAATTTTCAGTAATACTCTATAATTTATTCACAGAATTAGAAACGGATAACGTTCTGCAATCTGCACTGTATTTTCGGATGACAATTATCTCAACTAATTATCAATAACCGAAAATCATTGTTATCGTTAAATCTACCTGTTATAATATTATTATAGTACCCACCTATACATTAAATTATAATATTTTAAAGGGCGTATTTATATACATTGACGATTAACATAATAATATATATATATATAT